TTCAGGAAATTTTGTGTTTTTATGGGATTTGAGGGGGATTTTTGAGGGAAATTTGGGGATTTTGGGGGGGTTTTGGGGCAGATTTTTGGGGTGATTTTCGGGGTTTTTGGGTCTCGTCGCCGTCATTGTCCTGGGAGGATCCTCAGATGCTGCCTGGGAAGGGAAAATGATAAAAAATGGGGGAAAAAATGGGGAAAAAAGGGGAAAAAAAGTAAAATTGGGGTCCCTCACCTGCGTGGGTGTCACCGGGGAGTGGGGAGTAACCTGCAGGGAGAAAATGGGGTGAAAATGGGCAAAAATGGACAAAAATGAGAGAAGAAAGGAGAAAAAGGGGAGGAAAAAAGAGCAGAAAGGGAGAAAAGGTGAAAAAATGAGAAAAGGGAGAAAAAAAGAGGAAAAAAGGAGAAAAAAGGGAGAAAAAAAGGAGAGAAAAGGGAGAAAAAAGGAGAAAAAAGGGAGAAAAAAGGAGAGAAAAGGGAGAAAAAAAGGAGAAAAAAGGGAGAAAAAAGAAAAAAAGGAGAAAAAAAGGAGAAAAATAGCATAAAAAAAGGAGAAAAAGAGGACAAAAAAGAAGAAAAAAGGGAGAAAAAAAAGAGAAAAAAAATTAAAAGGGACAAAAATTGGGGAAAAAAATTTGGGAAAAAATGAGAAAAAAATGGGGTAGAAAAGGGACAAAAAGGGAAATGGACAAAAAATTATAAAAATTGATAGGAAATGATAAAAAAGGGACAAAAATATGAAAAAAGGGTCCCTCACCTGCGTGGGTGGCACCGGGGAGTGGGGAGTAACCTGTAGGGAGAAAATGGGGTAAAAATGGATTAAATTGGGTAAAAGTGGGCAAAAAAGGACAAAAAGGGACAAAAAGTGAGAAAAAGCGACAAAAAGTGAGAAAAAGCGACAAAAATCAACAAAAATCAGCATAAATCAGCATAAAAATGACAAAAAAGTTACAAAAAGCACCAAAAAGTGACAAAAAAGCGACAAAAAAGTGACAAAAGTGAGACCAAAATGAGACAAAAAGCAAAAAAAGCGACAAAAAGTAACAAAAAGTGACAAAAATCAGAATAAAAATGACATAAAAGTGACAAAAAAGCGTCAAAAAGCAACAAAAAAGTGACAAAAAAGCCCCAAAAACATCCCAAAAAAGCCCCAAACATCAGAATAAAAATGACATAAAAGCGACATAAAAGTGACAAAACAGCAACAAAAAAGTGACAAAAATCAACATAAAAATGACATAAAAATTACATAAAAGCGACAAAAATCGACAAAAATTGACAAAACGCCCCAAGAAGCCCCAAAAATCAGAATAAAAGTGACATACAAGTGACAAGAAAAGCGACAAAAAAGCGACAAAAATCAGAATAAAACAGACAAAAAAGCACCAAAAATCAACATAAAATTGACGTAATAATGACATCAAAATGACAAAAATTGACCAAAATTGACAAAAATTGACCAAACACCCCAAAAAGCCCGAAAACATCCCGAAAAGCCCCAAAAAGCCCCAAAAACCCCCCAAAAATCAGAATAAAAATGACATAAAAGCGAGAAAAAGCGACAAAAACGTGACCAAAAAAGNTTCAGGAAATTTTGTGTTTTTATGGGATTTGAGGGGGATTTTTGAGGGAAATTTGGGGATTTTGGGGGGGTTTTGGGGCAGATTTTTGGGGTGATTTTCGGGGTTTTTGGGTCTCGTCGCCGTCATTGTCCTGGGAGGATCCTCAGATGCTGCCTGGGAAGGGAAAATGATAAAAAATGGGGGAAAAAATGGGGAAAAAAGGGGAAAAAAAGTAAAATTGGGGTCCCTCACCTGCGTGGGTGTCACCGGGGAGTGGGGAGTAACCTGCAGGGAGAAAATGGGGTGAAAATGGGCAAAAATGGGCAAAAATGAGAGAAAAAAGGAGAAAAAGGGGAGGAAAAAAGAGCAGAAAGGGAGAAAAGGTGAAAAACTGAGAAAAGGGAGAAAAAAAGAGGAAAAAGGGAGAAAAGGGAGAAAAAAGGGAGAAAAAAGGAGAAAAAAGGGAGAAAAAAGGAGAGAAAAGGGAGAAAAAAGGAGAAAAAAGGGAGAAAAAAAGGAGAAAAAAGGGATAAAAAAGGAACGAAAAAAAGGAGAAAAAAGGGAGGAAAAAAAGGGGAAAAAAGGGAGAACAAATGGACAAAAAAGGAGAAAAATAGGAGAAAAAATAGGAGAAAAAAGGGATAAAAAAAGGAGAAAAAGAGGACAAAAAAGGAGAAAAAAGGGACAAAAAAAGGAGAAAAAAAAAGGGAAAAAAAGGGAGGAAAAAAAGGAGAAAAAAGGGATAAAAAAAAGAGGAAAAAAAACCAATAAAAAGAGACAAAAATTGGGGAAAAAATTTGGGAAAAAAGGAGAAAAAAATGGGGTAGAAAAGGGACAAAAAGGGAAATGGACAAACAATTATAAAAATTGATAGGAAATGATAAAAAAGGAACAAAAATATGAAAAAAGGGTCCCTCACCTGCGTGGGTGGCACCGGGGAGTGGGGAGTAACCTGCAGGGAGAAAATGGGGTAAAAATGGATTAAATTGGGTAAAAGTGGGCAAAAAAGGACAAAAAGTGAGAAAAAGCGACAAAAAGCAACAAAAATCAGCATAAATCTGCATAAAAATGACAAAAAAGTTACAAAAAGCACCAAAAAGTGACAAAAAAGCAACAAAAAAGTGACAAAAGTGAGACCAAAATGAGACAAAAAGTAAAAAAAGCGACAAAAAGTAACAAAAAGTGACAAAAATCAGAATAAAAATGACATAAAAGCAATAAAAAGTGACAAAAAAGCCCCAAAAAGCCCCAAAAACACCCCAAAAATCAGAATAAAAATGACATAAAAGCGACAAAAAAGTTCCAAAACAGCAACAAAAAAGCGACAAAAATCAACATAAAAATGACATAAAAGTGACAAAAATCGACAAAAATTGACAAAAATTGACGAAACGCCCCAAGAAGCCCCAAAAATCAGAATAAGTGACATAAAAGTGACAAAAAAAGCAACAAAAAAGCAAAAAAAATCAGAATAAAACAGACAAAAAAAGCGAAAAAAAGCAACATAAAAGTGACGTAATAATGACATCAAAATGACCAAAATTGACAAAAATTGACAAAAATTGACCAAACACCCCAAAAAGCCCGAAAACATCCCGAAAAGCCCCAAAAAGCCCCCAAAACCCCCCAAAAATCAGAATAAAAATGACATAAAAGCGAGAAAAAGCGACAAAAAAGTGACCAAAAAAGCAACAAAAATAAGAACAAACATGACATAAAAGCGACAAAAAGCCCCAAAAATCAGAATAAAAATTACAAAAAAGTGACAAAAATGTGACAAAAATCCGAATAAAAATGACATAAAGGTTGACATTAAAGCAACAAAAATTGACAAAAAACGACAAAAATCGGAATAAAAATGACATAAAAATTACATAAAAACGACAAAAATTGACAAAACACCCTGAAACGCCCCAAAAATCAGAATAAAAATGACATAAAAGTGACAAGAAAAGCAACAAAAAAGCGACAAAAATCAGAATAAAACAGACAAAAAAAGCGCCAAAAATCAACATAAA